CTACTTCCGTAGTGATACTGCCTCGGAAACCCAAGGAGGGGTCGCTATGAGTTGGAGCCGACTCGACGGCAAACAACAACAACAACAAGTATAACCATTTCATTTTCATTTATGAAAGTCAACACGCTACAAAACTACTGATGAGACATAACATCTCTTGACAGAATGGACCAGGTCTTGATAGCAGTGTCAAGCTGTAAAATACACATATGCATTCTTCATCCTCAGCTTTTACTGCGTGCCCACGCTATGCTGGACATTGTGGAATACTCAAATTGATAATATGTGTGTGGTCATCCTCCTCAAAACCAGTTGCCTTCAAGTCAGTTCCTACTCATGGAGACCCCATGTGATTCAGATAGTACTACAATCCATCGTGTTTCCTTTGGTTGTGATCTTTTCTAAGTAAATCGTGCCTTTTTTTCTGAGGCACCTCTGGGTCTATTTGAACTGTGGACCCTCCAGTTAGTAGCCAACTGTTTAATGATTTGGGCCATATGGGAACCATCAGGGGAACAGTCCTCAGGCTTTCAGTAGCATTTGATAGAACTGGATCATTTCCTCCTGAAATCCTGTTTGAACTTCCAAGTACTGACAAATTCCACTTTCTCTCTGAGCTGTCTTTGCTTCACTCTCCCAAGAGCTTGTTCCAACTTAATGGAAGCATTATCTCATTGAGTTCTTAAGTAAGCTTTAGGTTGACTATTCCTGCTAAAGGGTGGTGTTACATAAAAATTAATTTTATTTAAATCTTGAGAAATTCAAACATAACTCATAGGAATAATATACATGTAGATAGAAAATATATGGAAATCAATGAGAAGAGATCATGTTTCACTTCCAAACAAAGGAACTATATGTAGGCCATCTGATTGCCCATCACTAGGTTGAGCTGGTCCAGGGCCTCTTCAAACTCTAAAACTATGTTCACTGCTTCCAAACCCATAAGTGTTCCTTTTTGATTTCTCTTTTCTGATAAATTTGTATTACATTCAAGATTTCAGCATTCATATTTATCTTAAAGTCTTTCTTCTTTTCTTTTCTTTCTTTTCCCCATTCCTTGGAAGTCACAGGGTGACCCCACAGTTAACCATTAGATGTGGAGTTTTCTCTGTGCCCACTGAAATGAGCTAGACCTGAATACCAAAATCTCCACTAGGAAATATTCCTGCCCAAGCTGGACTAGATATCAATAAAGTGGCTCTGGCAGTGAGAGACATGCATATGAAGAGTTTGAATGAGATTTTCTTTTCAGGAAAATTGACAGTGGAAAGAGCAGCATATTGATAGTGGAAAAAGCAATTCATTCACATATATTATCTCAAATGTGTTAATATGTACTTTAATATATTTTACATATATTAATATGAATAAATATTTACCATTTCAGCTATGCTACTACAAGTTTATGTAATAAAGGAGACCAAATTTTTTAGATATTCTCTTAGGAATGTTGGGCAATCTAATTCCATAGTGATACTGCCTTGGAAACCCAAGGAGGGGTCGCTATGAGTCGGGTTTGACTCAATGGCACTGAGTTTGGTTTTTTAGGAAAAATGAGTGATGGATTGTGCCTTCTATTTGAGATTTTATATATTCAGATATATGTGATGATAGGCATTAAATGAACATTGTATGGCTAATAAAATTTTCTAGTAGAAACATCATATGCACATTTCATTCATAGAGGAGATGTTAAAAAATTTAATTGCATATTTAAATTCAAAGAAATAAAATAAAATAATGCAAATGCAAATGATGTACACATTGTGTATACTATCATAATTTCAGGTTTCTTTTTTCTTTTTTTTAGGGCACAAGGAGCATTCATTTCTCATATACTGCCAGAATTTCTGTTTGAACCAGAAGATTATAAGAAGTGGATTGAGATGACAGTAAGTGAATTTAATTTTTAGGGAAAAAAATCTGCATAGTTATTGTTAAATTTATTGGTATTCAACCTTTGTTAGAAAATTCTATTTTAGAGTTCTTGATTTTCATAATGATATAAGATTTAAGCCTCCCTGGACAGCCTGTGGGAGCTCTGGTCGTGTAGAGCCTAATGCATTCGACTGCTAACCAGAAGGTTAGCAGTTCAAACCCACCAGTCACTCCTCAGAAGGAAGGTTGGGCAATCTACTTCCATAGTGATACTGCTTCAGAAACCCAAGGAGGGGTCGCTGTGAGTTGGATCCGACTCCACGGCAGTAAGTTTGGTTTTCTGGTTTTAGACAGCCTGTATTTTTCTCCTTTTGTTTATAAATACTTGTGGAGTTTTTATGCAAATATTACACGTCCTTCTTAAATGCATAAGAACTTACTACTTCCAGAGATTTTGAAATGAAGAATGATGTGTACTTATGATTATTTTCTTAAAATAAATGTTTAGAATATATTTCTTCCAAGGAAAGGACCGGCTTAATTTCAACATCACTTGCCATTTCAATTCTTCAGTTTTAGGGGAGACTAGAGAGAACTTCACAAGAAATGCATAGCGTTTTCTCAAAGTATACCATTCATTTTATGAAACTCTATTGATAAGGGTATTTGTTTTTGAGAAGCCTATAAGCTTTGAGACAACTCTGCTTTGACTATGTTACTGTTATTAAGCTAGACAAGTGGTGTGAGTAGGAAAGCCAGGTGCCTGTTCTTTGGAACTATATTGAGTTCCTTTGGCCTAATCCAAAGGGTAGTGTTCTGTCTGGGCTCAGGGTTCATTCTGCCATTCTGCCACAGAGTGAGCTAGTAGATATATTGACAGGAAGAATTTATGACCTCAGTAACAGACTCTGTACTCCATAAATTTACCTGTACTGATATCTCTTACTACAGTAGTAACACAGGGAATTAGAGCTTTGGAGAACTGTATACATAAAAAAAGTATGCAAAAGTTTTATAACAAAAAAAGTAAACAATTTATGTATTAACTAGTTAAATTTTGGATTTATGTTTGACATTCATTTGAACTAATAGCATTTTATTCTTCAAGACTTCGACTGACAACATGTCTGAGAGTTCTGATACAGAAGAGGAAAAGAATCCTGTTATTATAGATGCCACCGACTTTGAAGCCTTGAGTAAACAGGCATGGACAGATGTACTCCTTCAGATGTACAAGGTAGCATTTCCACTCTTACTCACTGCTGTTTTTTGTCGAGTCGCATAAATAGTTTATTAGCAATGCTAATAGTATAAACAGTGCTGCTGTAAAAGACTCAAAAAACGCAGTGCTTTAAATAAGATAGAACCCTATTTCTTCCTTATGGATCTGTGGAGAAATGAGCAGTTTAGTACTAGTGCGATATCTCTTCCATCCTTGGTACTAGGCTTTCATCTGTACGTCCAATTTCTCAGAAAAAAGAAGAGCAGGAAAAGGAGTAGTGGAGGGCGAGATTCCTTTTAAGGATGTTACCTGAAAAATACATAATTTTCATTTCACCTTCCGTTGGGTACGCCATAGTCACTTGGCCGAATCTAGTTGCAAGAGAGATTAACTGGCTAAGGGGGATACTGGTAACTAAAGAGAAGGATCAGAGAATGGATATTGAAGAAAGTTATAGTCTAATTATGGTCTAATATACAGTAGAGTTTTACCAGAAAATTGTTATGGAAAGATATTTAAGAGAATCATGTATACTACTATAGGTGAGACCATGGTTTGATGAGTGTCCAACTTACTTTATGCCAAGTTGCATATGTGGTTAGATGAACATAACATAAAATATGCCTTTATACGTTATCTCTTTATTTTAAAAATGAGTCTTCATTTTAGCCCTGACATTCATTCTCCAGCTTTCTAAACATAGATTTTGTCCATTAAGTGCAATGGAATTTTTTCTCTGTCTTCACACTTTGTTATTGCAGATAGAGTGAGCTGTATGATAAGGTGCAGAATGAGAAAGGAATTAGAATTTAGTCACTCAAAGGAAAAGACAAAACTAAGAACTTTTTAGTGAGTACTATGTGTGACACTGTCACTAAGTGCTGTTTCTGTGTTACCTCATTTAATCTTCACAATCAGTTAACCCTAGTTTAGCCCAGAGGAAACTGAAACACACAAACACAAATACTTTCTTCCAATAGCACATGATTTTGGCCATATGCAGCAAGGTGATATATGTAAAGCTTATTTCGTCCTTACTTTTTTCTGGGACCCAGGATCCCAGGACCCGCTGGCAGTCTAAAGGCTGCATTGAAGCCCCATATCCAGGCCTGTCCTCTGGAGAGTTCTTTCTGCTATGTGATTCCCACTTGTTCCTCCTCTCCTCGACCTCTTCCTCCATTGATCTGCTCTGTTTCTCTTGCTGGATGTCAAGAGAAAAAATCCTGTTATTCCATAGGTCATTGACAGCAGAAGAGATAGTGGTATTTGTGATTCTCAGTCAACGTTGTTGTTGTTATGTGCCATCGAGTTGGCCCCAACTCATAGTGACCCCTCCTTGAGTTTCTGAGGCAGAATCACTACGGAATTAGATTGCACCATCTTCCTTTTGAGGAGTGGCTGGTGGGTTTGAACCTCCAGCCTTCTGGTTAGCAGACAAGTTCCTTAGGCACTATGCTACCAGAGCTCCCCAGCCAGTATTGTTGTTGTTGTTATGTGCCGTGGAGTCAGACTCAACTCATAGTGACCCCTCCTTGGGTTTCTGAGGCAGTATCACTTCAGAAGTAGGATTGCCCAACCCAGGAGTGGCTGGTGGGTTTATTAGGGGTAGAAAAAGACATTCTTTTCTTTCTTAAATCCAAGCTATGCCCTATAATTTTGCTCACTAATAAAAAGGGACAACTCCAAAACAGAAGTGCAGCAAATACCCTACCCTAAGGGCAAACTAAGGAGCTTTGGTGGCACAGTGCCTAAGGCATTTGACTGTTAACCAGAAAGGTGGTTCAAACTTACCAGCTACTTTGTGGAAGGAAGACTGGGCAATCTACTTCCATAAAAATTTGCTGCCTCAGAAGCCCAGTGGCGGTCTCTATGCCTAGGAATCAACTCGATGTCAGTGGATTTGGTTTTTGGTTTAAAGACAAACTAGTCTTAATCCTGGGCTTTCGTCATTCACTCACTCACTCATATTCATTCCTTCACCTATGAATTCATGTTCGTTTTTGGTTTATTTAATCCATCTTATACACTCTATAAGTTTAGAAACCATAAATGATTTATAAATTTAGCACCCAGTAAAATACCTGTTATAGGGAAAAAAAAAAAACCTGCAGTCAATTCAATTCCGACTTTTAGTGATCTTATATGAATGAGTAGAACTGGCCCATCATATTTCCAAGGCTGTGATCTTTATGAAAGCAGACTGCCACATTTTTCTCCTGCAGAGCAGCTGGTGAATTCAAACTGCTGACCTTTTGGTTAGCAAAAAAGTGCTGATCCACTGCGCAACCAGAGCTTCTTACCTGGTACATGTTGTTGTTGTTATGTGCCGACGAGTTGGCCTCAAATCACAGCGACCCGTCCTTGAATTTCCAAGGCAGTATCCCTGCGGAAATAGATTGCCCCATCTTCCTTCTGAGGAGTGGCTGGTGGGGCAAATAGGTATTTACAGAATTAATTCATTCAACAGCCATTTTGCTCACAACACTAGACTCATGGAAAATAACGTTGCTGTTGTTGTTATGTGCCCTCGAGTCCGCCCCAACTCATAGTGACCCCTCCTTGGGTTTCCAAGGCGGTATCACTACAGAAGTAGATTGCCCAGGTAAACTTGAAATAGTCTATCTCCTCAAGGAATTTATGGCCTGCAAAAAGATGTAAGCAAGTAAACAAAATACATTGCAAGACAGTATGACAAATGCAAAGACAAGGTATGTCCAAGAAACTGTAGATAAGTGTACATACAGTATTTTTGCATTGAATAGGCCCACTCATACAACACACATAACACTCATAGAAAACTAGCACATAAGGGAATTACACAGTTATATAAAAACTGTATAGTGCATGCATCATTTGCATAAAATATAGTAGATGGAATCCCAATTTAGTCTTGGTCCTTGAGAAGACTTCAAGGAAGAAAAAAAAAATGAAAATGACCCTGAGGAATGACTAGGAGTTTACCAGGCAAGGCAGGGCATGGCTTGGAGAGAGAGAGGTAGTACAATTTATGTGATGGATACAGTAAGTAGGCTTTATTGGGAGACGGTAAAATTTTTCAAGGCAAAGAGAATTCAGTGTGCAAAAATTCTGATGTTACGTAGACCATGGCATGTTTGGGGGGACACAGTATGTTTGGGGTGTTGGGAATGAACTGCGATCCCTATCAGGAATTAGACCATGGTTGACTTTATAAGCTAAATCATGGAATCAGAAATCAGAACTTTCTGGGTTTTAGCCCAATGTCAATACAGATACATTGAAAGGTTTTATTCATAAGGGTGAAATAATTAGTTTTGCACTCTAAGGAAATCAGTCTGATTACACTGTGGAGACCGGAAGAGGGGGTGAGGAATTTATGCATATGGTGGTAATAGTGGGAAAGATGAGACAGGGAGAAAGGGGTGGCTTTTTACAAATATTAGCAGTAACATTCAATAGGATTTGGTAAATGGTTAGAATTAAAGGGAGGCAAAGGAGACAGAGGGTCAAAAATGATAATGTGTTTCTTGCTTAGGTGACTCAGTGGAATTTGATCCCA